TTAGGGTCATACACTTGCCGCCCAAGCCCACACATGCTCATTCCTTTCTGGGAAGCAACTTTGTTGGTACCCATCTGTATAGAAATGGTGGAGTTGTCTGTCCACTGGCTGTAATGTCAGCTTCTGGTCGTAGATATCTCTTCTGGTACCCAGTGCTAACATCCCAGCCTGGCTGGCTCCCTTGTTAGTGCCCATCTGCAGACTAATCGTAGTCTGGTCAAAAGGCTTGTCAGTCTGCATTTTGGGATCATAAAGATACCTCCTGGTCCCATAGGCCGTCATCCCCGCCTGGCTGGCACACTTGTTGGTTCCCATTTGTAAACCAATTACACTTTGGCCAGCCTTTAATTTGCCTTCATTGAAATGTCTTGATTGTTTTTCTGCATACTTAACTCCAATGACAATGGTTGTATGGAAGCCTTTTGTTTTCGCCAGGCCTGCTAGAGCTACCAGCGTAGTCTGAACCTGGGTCATGTTGCCATTCTCAAAAAGATCATTTGTTTCAAATATGTCGTGGGACTTCATACCATAAGCCTAAATAGCTTCAATAAAGTTGCCGATATTCTGCAACTGAGGCCAGTTTAGTGAGGATTCATTGACTTTCTTCACAGAGCCTGGCTGTAGCTTGTTGATGAGTTCGCAGAGGATAATGCCGTCCTTCAAGCCCAGCTGGAAATTGGTGCCAATGCTCATGCCAGTCACCTCTTCTATCCAGTTGCATAGATTTTCCTCTGCTTGTTGATCATACTTGGATGCAATCTTGTTCTTGATTTCGGCGGAGAGCCCATAGGAAGGGCCCTTGTTGAAATGGGTCATGGCGGTTCCGACGATGGGAAGGGGCTACGCTCGGGCTCGGGGGTCTGTCGCCCCCGGTGGTGTCCCTACTCCTAGCCCCAGAGGCAGCTGTGCGGGAGATGCTCGAGCTTGCTCCTCTGCATAGCGGGAGACTCCGGAGCCCGGCTGGGGGACGTGGATGATGCTTCGAGGGTTTGGTCAGACTCGCTTATTTGTGTGTTTCACAGATGGTGAGACTAGTGTACATGAACCTTGAGCAGGAGATAGATAAGACAAATCCGTGCCCTGCCTTTCTGACTGGACAACGAACCACCTCACCTACAAAGATCCTCTCCCTAAGGTTGTTCAGTCTGAATCCACAGTGTAGGACCTGTGGCATTGGTGCTTATAGATGATCTGCGGCATGTTTTGGGGTACCAGGACTGAAGAACCCTAATCTAGAAGAAGACTATCAAGAAACTACATTTGTCTTGTTAGTTTTAAAATCATGCCACCCAAAGGCAACTTGGAGATGTCCCAGTCCATTGATGGAGTGTTTTTGCTTTGCTGTTTGATTTTTTCGTTTTGTTTTTTTGGGGTCTTGTTTTTGGTTTTGGTTTTGGTTGTTGTTTTGTTGTTGTTGGGGATAGAGTCTCAACATGTAGCTCAGGCTGACCTAGAAACTGCTATGTAGCCTAGTTTGGCCTCTAACTCGTGATCTTTTTCTTTTACCCTCCCAAGTTCTGGGTGACAAGTATGTATCACCAAGTCCTGACCTACTGAGAGCTTAGTAGTTTTGGTAGTTTAGGGAGAGGAATTTGTCTGAGATCAAATAATAAGTGAGAGCCTGACTGAGGGCCTGAACGCAGATGTGTCACTTCCAAAACTGACACCACTTTCACAACAGGAAAATCTTCCAATCTGCAGCATTAATTCCCTAATCAGCCTCCGGAGACCTCACAGTCTTTTCTCAATCTCTTGGTCACTCTGGGGACCCTGCAGTAAATCTAGACAGGAACTAGTTTCAGTTTAATGGTGGGTCAGATGAGCAGCCAAAAGAATCCCAGGAAAATGGTTAAGAGCATATATCACCAGGTTCCTCCTCTGCAGATACCAACCAAGACTCAGGCAGGGCTGGCAGAATGTGAGGAGGACAAGGATTGTGGATGATTGTTCTGTATATTTGGGCAAAATTCCCACAATGTGATTAAAATCAGGTGATGGCTCAGTGGGTAAAGGCCCTTGCCATCAACCATGATAGCCTGAGTTCCATTCCCCAGCTCCACACGGTGGAAGGGGAGACATCATTCCTGAAAGTTGTCCTCTGATGCCCACAAGTGTGCTGTGACATGTGTGAATACCCACATGTACAATAAGTAAATTATGATCCTTTAGAAATTAAGTAAAATGTTACTATAATAAAAGAAACTTTCATCCCACTTAACCCTGATTTCTACAGATGACTCTTTGGGTATGAAACCATATGCCTTTTCTATAGTAGATCAAACAGAAACAATACAGGCTTGGCAGGCTATGTGGCTGTTACTGCTACCACTCAACATCCCATGTGGTATGGAAGGAACTATCCCAAATACACAGATACATACACACACGGGGACAGGGAGAGGGGACGACAGATATCTTCTAATAAAACTTACAAAAGCAATTAGAGGGAGAGGCTGGACTCAAACAATACGCTGTACTTAGGTGAATTCTTGCTGTAGCAAACTAGACTATAGATTTACAGTCACATCATTTACCATATTTGCCTCTAAAATATAGAAACAAAAATTAAGGGTGAGTTGTAAAATGATGGTGTGCCAAGTGTGGTGGTATAGGTGGCATAAATGCAATTTGTGGGGAGTTGAAGTCGGAATTTCAGGAGTTCAAGATCAACTTTAGCTGCATAGTAAATTCAAAGGCTATTTGGGCTACATGAGACCCTGTCTCATAATAAATAAATAGTAAGTATCAACAGAAATATAAAGTGATAGCTTATTTAATTTCATATAACAAATTTATACTTAATTTGCTGCTGATGTTAGTTTACAGGAATCTTAGAATTGGAGGCATATGAATCTAGAAAGCTCTATGAGAACTTCCTTTTCATCATTGTCTAAATTGGAGTTGTATGACCACATCAAGCTCTATAACTAAGTTTGCCATGCCTGAAATCAAGGGACTTCTGATAGAAAGGAATCAGAGAAAATACTAGGAACCTGGAAAACGTCTGAGATATCTTCACATGGAAGAAGGCTTCAGAAGTGTTATCATCCAGGCAAATGTAAACCAGGCCCCGCCCCTTGGGGACCTAGTGCATATGGCTTGCAGTACCCTGGCTCTGTACAGGTGCAAAGGTCCCTTTAAGAGGCAAGTTCTGCTCACTTCTGCTGTCTTTCTTCTGCTGCCTTTTCTCTGAAGAGGCAGATAGGTCTCTGTCTGTCTCTCTGACTCTCTCTGTGTGTATGTGTGTCTCTCTCTTTCTCTTCTCTCTTCCCTTCCCTTACTTCCTTTTCCCAATAAACTTTCCCCATAAGTGCTGCTGATGGCATATTTGTCTTTAACCTGCCAAGGGATCTGCTAAAAGTCCCACCTTCCTATGTTCAGTAACAGGAATGCACCACTATACCTAGTTCAGATCACTTCTTATAAACATGGAAGTTTCTCTAAGAAAAACCAGGCTATCTCCTTCCAGAACATATAATATATAATGATTGAAATATATAGAAACAAAAACTATTAATTTCTTGCCCTCTCAGTGGAGAATCTTTGATTGGTCAATCTCTTGCTTCCTAGTTCTGCCATTTATGAAACGCTCCCTATGTTCCTTCCATGGCCTTGGGTAAGATATGATTTTCCTTATTAATCACTTTCAATGCCTATATCTGAAGTGGGTATTCAGGGGAAAGTTACTTGCTAGTTTTAGCAATCCCCGAATATTTATACAAGTTTGTATAACCAGGGATTATCTTTGGGTTGGGTAATTACATGCCATTGTTGGCAAGCCTTAAGATGTCTTTCACAGTAAAGTGCCTCTCAAAAATTCAGAAGATCTATGTATTTGCTTCTGGTCGATTCTCTGCATTAGTAACCACAGATAAAGATCTTGTCTAGACACAGTCTTTGAGGATAAGAATTGTTGTCGCCCTCCTGCTAGACCCCATACTCGTCCAAATCCTCCAGTATTTAACTCACACAATTAGGGCTTTGTGTTGGGAAGCTCTGGTTTTACCCGTCTTAAGAGAACCACTTTCCCACCTCTGCGTGTATTAACTTGGCCTACCGAGGACTTCTTGAGCCCCGCAAGACTTCAAAGAATGAGATTCCATTCATTTGGGCCAAAGGTCATACATACATGGGAAGGACCTTCCAAAATTAAATCATACCTTCTCCCCTCTTTGATTACAGCTTAGCTATCTAGCATAAGTTTGCATTTCATTATAGGATTTTTTTTTTCTAACAGCCATTAAAGTAAGCCAACACATGTAAACACCCTAAATGTTTCTCCCCATTTTCCACTCCACAGCAACCCTAGTCAACTCATGATCTATAGTCAAAGACAGATGTGCCAACAGGGTGCTTATGTGTCTGTTATATGGTAAATTCTCCCAGTTTAGGGGAGAGGAGTCCTCAATCTCCATCCTGACCTACCATTTTAAGTCTTTCATTAATCTGTTTCTATTTCTAAAACCCAAATTTTCTGTCAGTCAGATATGCTGTCAGCTACAGTTCATTAAAAAACTAACCATAGTTATGATGTGGGTGTGGTTCATTTGTTCTTCAAAGATCCTTTGTGATTGAGATCTTGGTCCCCAGGGTGACTGTGCTTGGTGACAATGTGGATTTTTTAAAGAGGCATGGCCTAGTGGGAGGTTCTTGAACTATCCAGACAGACTCTGGGGAGCGGGGGGGATGGGGGGGG